GACACTACTAGGGGCTCCTGGCCTTACTACTAGGAACAAGAAGCTACCAGGGGCTCCTGGCAGGGTGTCCGACTTGCTGGACTCCCCACGACACTGCTGACGACGGATCCTTCCTGTCGAGGAACATGGTCGGTGCGCCGCATCACGTGGCCAAGGCACTCGAGGCGTCCGAGACGAAACGGAACGCGAGACGCTGAAAGACCTGGAACCCCAAACAACCACAAAGAAATTGATGTTTCCCTAAACAGCCATTTCCGATGTAAAGGATTCAATTGCCATATTGGAACAACCAATTGTTTCTGGTTGTTTGGGGTTCCCGGTATAACCTGTTTTGGCACTCCACTCAAAGCGGGCAGGTGACGGTTGACCTGGAATTTTTCCACAGGAAACTGCTTGGGAGTCGGTGAACGTGTCTAAAGTTTGTTGATAGAGTGCCGTCCTCGTCCTTTGGTGCGACCCCGAAACACATTCCATCACCTTCCAGCTCTTCCGCCGCAACCTCTGGGCTCGTGTTCGCCGCAGGTGGGCATGGACATGATTTGCGCCCAGGGCACTGAAGCAGGTGGCCACACTGGAGATGTGGCGACCCTGCCGCTGATCCCGCAATGCAGCTTGGACAGCTTGGAGGACGTACGTTCGCGTCGCCCTCCGGAGCGTTGGCCGGAAAGACACGGGCAGGGATGTGGCGGCTTGAAGCTTGGATGTGCCATTTCCTGCATGAACTATCCAACGATTGAAGTGCGAAGTGATCGAATTTTCAGTGGAGACCGGGTGATGTTGATGTGGATGTGTGGAACCTGCAGCAGAAACCGCCGGCAGATGGTGGACGTGAGCTGTGTGAGTGTTTGGAAGGTCCAGAAGCTGGGATGTCTTCAATCTTCTGTCTTGGGAGGATTGAGATGGTCTTTTACATTGGCTGGAAACGCAAGGTCTTTGGGGATACCTCCACAATCCCTGGCCCTGGTGCGTCCCCCTGTTGCGATGATTTTGAGATATACCCATACCCCAGGATGCCCATCCTCCACTCATTTGGGGTCGACCACCAGTGGTCGCCTGCTGAAATTCACATCAATTCACTGTTTGAGAGTCAAGCATGCTGGGAAAGTGGGCAAACCACCCAGTGACCCTTGCACGAAACACCAGTGTTCCATGAATGTTGATGAGTTCTCCGCCGATGTTGCCATTGGACATGTGTGCATTGTTTTCCTGAAACAGGGCAATGTGCTGCCTTCGATGAAAGCATACTAAACCACCCAGACACTCCATGTATGGCATGTATATACCTACATTGGGATGGTGCCAGGGCCGTCAATTGATCGGCATATATGACTCACATGAAGTGTCTGGGAATCATACTATGCCTGCTTTTGGTGATCCAAGGTGTCGATGCCTGCCGGGGCAAGAAGAACTTCTTCGGGCTCCAGGTGCCTGTGGTGGCCGCAGGCCGGACCACTCACACGCCAATCAACGCCTGCGCTTCATGATACGAGTCAACGATGGTCATGGCTCTTAACTTGCCGATGCTTAATGGTCGCAAGAAAAGAACAAGTGATAATTAATCTACGTTCATTGGGATATAACTCGGCCAGCGTTATTTCTGCAAGCATGTGCCGTGTTTTGTGGTTCTGTGCCCAGACTCTGCCAGCAAGCCTTGCCAGCAAGCCTGGCCACCTATCATTCAGTGGTTTGACGGTTTGACTATCACAAAGTGCCACACCAAAGGCTTGTTGCTGACCTCATAGCAAATACCCCATCTAAGTCTATAAGTACTCTTTTTAGACATGCATGAACGTTACCTAAATTATGATGCCGTGTTCTTGCACTGGGACTTGACCGCAGGCACTTGACCACGTAGGGTCGCAACTCTGGGCCAATGGGATGGAGTCACGATATCAGAAGCGGCTTGACAAGGCCAAGTAACGAATGCTCCCACACCAACAAGTGTTTCTCCAGCTCTGAGGGGCTCGACTAAGAACTACTTGGGTGAGGCGTTCATGAAAAACGCAAATCAGCACTGGCAGGCAGCAAACAGAAAGCTCACAAACAGAACTTGAATGACGAAGAAAGGCCAACCCCGAATCAAAGAAGATGATGTGTATCCCAAACGATACCTCCACTCTCAACGGCTGATCCCGTAGATCACAGGGATTAGATGATGCCCGTAGATCCCTCGCAACTGATCGACGTCCAGGCGGCATCTTCGATGGTCGCGGATTGGGCGCTGCGCTCTGCCTGGGCGCCACTGGTGTTTGGGTCGGCACGCGCTTCATTTGCTCAGAGGTGCCCCCGAGTTTGGCACATGTGTGTTTGAAGGGACATTCGATGACATTCGTATTACGGTTAGACATGACATGTTGGCATGTTTGGAGTGGTGATGATACAGGAAAATCAGTTCTGTGCAGAAAGATGTTGTGTGACTCCTGACTCAAGTTGGTATTTAAAGCAGAAATCTACGGGGCATCGATATGTCCTTTCAAGGGCACAAGGAGCTCCTTGCTCAGAAGATGGAACAATCTTTGGAAACTTCTGGAGGAGAGTTGAACACAGCTACATACCTCATCCAAAACTCTCCTCCACCCAAAGAATCCACCCCATTTGGGCTATACATCATATACCCCATCCCACCCGTCTCCGGCTTCGCCATGGCCGTTGCTCCACCGATGTCGCCTGTCTCGCGTGTCTGTGTTGAAAACGGCCAGGAAGCGAATGCAGGGCCCGTCCACAAGCAGCGCATCATGAAGGTCTCTTCCGAACCGAAGACGGAAGATGTGGGTGGAGCATCCAGAGCTTGGCCGAGCTTGGCCGAGCACACTCCCACCAAGACAGTTCTGGGAACACGTGTGGCTTCGAGTTTGAAGTCTTGGTCAATTCCAGAAACCCTTGGCTTTGATTGAATGTAGAAAGAGTGAAAGTGAAGACACGTCATATTGAAGCGATTTGAGATTTGGAAAACCAAATCTATCACATCAGCGGCTTGGGGTCGTTGGAATGGGGTGAAGCGCTCGATTGCTCGATTCCATCAACACAAGGATGCAGACAGGACATCAGCAGCACGGAAGGTGATGTTTTTTTCAGGTGCGAGTTATATGTGGCTTCTGGACAGAGCTAGGCCGCTAGACGTTGCCCAGAAGTTTCGAACGGCCAATGACTTTTGCTCGATGCCATTTTTCCCCAGGGTCGAACTTGTTTGGGGCTTACTTAATTCTGATACAAGACCATACTTCCTATAACGCCCTTTTGGACGTCCGACGTCCCGCCCTTTGAACGTTTGAAGGTTGACAGCCCGACCGTCGTGGCGTCCGCTTGTAAAGGCGCAGAGCGTGGACACGACCCGCACGGAGGCGGTCGAACATGGCGTCTCACAGCGAAGCTCGCCGAGCGTGGCCGGTTTTTTAATTTGTAATAACTGCAGATCCAGTGGAATCATGGGTGACCTACCTGGTGATTCCTAGATTGTATTCAGATGATGTTCCTAGATCAGCCATGAGCTATGCGGTGATGCAGATCATGGGACGCCCAAGCAACATGTCATGTCATGTGTGCGTGTTTGTGTTTCCGAGGAGTGCCTATACCAAGAAAGAGTCTTCGAGAAGTGAGCAGAAAGTGAAAGGATCCAACACTGCTAGCCTGAGTTCGGATCCAGGACTCATCACCAGAGTATGTCCCAAATATAGTGTCCCACGTAGTGTCCCACGTAGTGTCCCACGTAGTGTCCCACGTGCTGTCCACGCGTCCGTTCTGCTAGGAACTCTTTTGACAAAAAGCTGAAGATGGTAGTTTGAGCTTTCCACGGCCTACTCTCGATCGAAAACGCCAGATCTTCACTGGCCGACCCTGCCGGGTCTTGAAGACGGAGTATGTGAAGAGCTGGGACGGCAAAGAGCAAGATCTGCAGGACGCCGCGGCGCACAGTTCTGTGCAGCTCGGGAGAAAACGCCTAGGTTTATAGTCGTTTCCCTGAGGTGTTGAACAGGAGGCTTTTCGGTGGAAAGAGCGGCGTGATTTGGTGCGTAAGTGCGGTTTGGTGATAGATTGATAAGAACCCCCCAGTTGGATTCAACAACTTCTCCACACTGACTGTATGTCAATGTTTTTTTTGATGAATCAAACGTTTATACAGTGAATGGTTTGGGCCTTCGATCCAGATCTCTTCCCAATGGGGAAACGGAAGTTCTTACTGATTCTAAGGTAAGAATTGTAATACCTATATATACAGTGGTTTCAGAGTAGATGGCACTGGCACCCCAAGATGTCCTTTAGATTGGGTCCATATCAACCACCTCTTAGGGGTCTGTGCCATCTACTCTCAATCCACAACATATAAATATGATATCTCTTGCGGTTGGGCCTGGCTCGGGAGAGGTGACCCTGACTGAACGGAAGCAGGCTGGTATGGTCACTGGCTCGGGAGATTAGCGGATGGCTTGGGAGGGAAGCCATAGTGCCTTCAGAGGAATGTTCATGATTCATGAATGTTAATGTATCAATATATGTATCACATCATCTACCGCACTGCTCACTGTTTCAAGAACTCACTTTCTCACTTTCTTCTTCGGAGGAAGACGAAACCTTTTGCCTGTTGCCTTGCACTCCCACGGAATAGGATCACAGCCTCTTCGGATCACACCATGGTGCAAGCAAACCCAGACCATCCACAAGACCCTCCTCGGATCACACCGCCTCGGCTCACACTCGCTGCCTCTGACAGGAGAAGTTGAAGCAAGGCGTGGTGCCTTGGGTCGAGGACATGAAGGCGCGTTTGGGGCGAAGGACACGTCGGCCGCGCGCTTCGGCGGCTTCACCTCTGCCTCCGAATGACGCTGAACAGAAATAGAACGCCCAAAGCAGACAAGGGTCATGAGTAGGGTAAAACTTCTCCTTCTTGAGTGTCATTGAAGCTTGTGGCGTCTTCTCACCTGGTTCGAAACGGCTGATCCCTCTTCGTTCACTTCTCCTTCTCCTTCTCCGTCTCTCCGCCGGATCCGGTCCCGTCCGGTCCGGTCGGGAGCGGACGAGTCCGCTCCGCGGCTCCAGGAAGACCGTGCGAAGTTCTCCGACTTTCTACCTGCCTTGATGGGCCAAGCCGTTGGAGGCGGGACGGGTCAGCTGGGTCGTCGCTGGTTTCTCGTGCCGTTTGTCTCCGCCGGCGGCTGACCGGGGAGACGAATCCTCTCTTTTCTCGGGGCCCTCCTGTTTGGGAGATCAGAATGACCCAGCAGGTGGAGGTTTCATGTGGAAAGACCATGAAAGACTGGTGTTGCAGGTGTTGGAAGATGTTTTGTGTTTCTTTGCACATCTCTCATGAGGCCCCGAAAAGGTTCGATGGTCGCTTTTGGAAGCCATATTGAGTACTAAGTCATCAAGCCTGTCGGCTAGATGGTTTCGGATCACCACTGTGAGTCATATTCCAACTGCTGTGTCAGAGTATCATAGTCAAGAGCCCAGACTGGATAGACTGGTTGCTTCGGGTTGATGTTCCTTCTCCTCTTCCAGGTCGCCCGGTGCGAACGGTCTCAGGTGTGAGAGAAGAGAAGAAGGCCGAGCAGATCGTACAGGAGCGAGGAGGTCGTTGAAAGAAGAGGGAGACGGTTTTTAAGGAGTTGGAGGGGTCTACTCCTTTTGGTCAAATACATGTAAATACACCTTGATGATGCCTTGATGTCCTTTGGTGCTTTTGGCTGCGGAGTTTCCTTGGGTCCGCCTCAAGGCGGACGAGTCGTCTCAGAGTCGTCTAGGTCCGCCAGGGCGGACCGCCGAAGACCGTGTAGATGGTGACCGTGTTCCTTCGGCGCCGCCAATGGTTCCGGATGGGTTCTTTCCCAACCAAAACACCTCCGTCGATGGGTCCTGGATGGGTCCGATCTTTACATGGGGGTCCCTCGACATCCGAAGTCGATCGACGAACCGAGTCGATCCAACGAAGAGGATGGGATGTACAGGCTGGGAAGAAGGTTGGTCAGTGGAACCTCTAGTAGTTCCAGTAGCTTTGTGTTTTTCAGGCCATATTATATATATATAAGTATATATATATATTCCGACGGTGTCGTTTCGGAGTGGCCAAAGACGGCAGGAGATGATGGGAGAAGCTTTGCAGTCGATCCAGTCAGTCCATGGTCTGGTCAGCCGTTTGTGAGCAGTTTTGGAGCAGTTCTGGGGGGTAGGAAGTCTTGTCAACTTGTAGCCTTGAAGGAACTCCTGAAAAGTGCGGCACATCATCTTCCTTCTGAACAATGGAAAAGCTGATATAAAACTTCCTTACCCCCGCCGTGTGCAGAAGCCACAAGAGTTGGCCACCCAGGGCCGCGACAATTGGTCGCGCTGACTTTTGAAAGACCTGGGGGGCGGCAGTAGGCCACTAGGCCATCATCTTGGTCATGGAAAAGTCCCCTGATCCTGTCGCAGACTTGCCGGTGGGGGGGTGGAGGACTGAGCACTGAGCACCAGCCTTCCTCAGAGTGTTCAATCCTTGAACGGCCCAGAATGATGGGAAGGCCAACAAAGTTTGATTATGTTTGATGTGGCTTCTGTTCGAACCTGTGTCAGCTCGTGCTAATAGGAGGCGTCTTCTACACGTGGTCATGGTCAATGACAAGCGCGTATCTGGTGTTTTCTTGGTCATTATACCAATGGCACTGGGAGTTATATAATTGTTTTAAGGTTCCCAAAACACTTGGTAGTGTAGCTTGCTTTCCAACCGGACTCTCCTTCGAGGTGTGTACAAAAATAGATGGAACTAGCAGTACTAGAATCCGAGATGAGCAAAGTGCCGTGCTTTCCGAACAAACATATGTCAAAGGTACGGGGTTTAGCAGGAACTGAAAGTACAGTGGGTCCAGAAGTTTCAGCTGCTGTTTCCAGATCCTTCCTGTTTGGAGCCCAGGTCTGGGAAGATCGAGCCACACAAAGCTGGATGCCTGCTGAGGCCTTCCAAATTAGACGGTTTCACCCTGTTTCACCCAGATTTGCCTAACATCCTAAAACCAAAACGTCGACGCCCTCACGTCCTCGATTCTGTGTTCAGGAACTCACCAGCGAATCCAGGGAATGGAACAGCCAGTCAGTCTGTCACCAGGTGCCCAGAGTAGGACTCTGGTGTAGAGTCTGTCACCAGGTGCCAAGGTGCCGAGTGTCCGAAGTGACGAAGTGACTCTTTGCATGTACTCAACACCGCAGCCTGCCACGGCTGCGGCATGCGAGGCTCATTTCCGGAGGCACAAATCGATCCATCTCTCTCTCTCTCTCTCTCTCTTTCAGATGTCAAGGCATCATTTGAAGCGGAGATCATGTTTGATCCTCGAAACCTATGGAAAGCAAGGGAACTCACGTACGCAAAGAAGGTGAGGAAAGATTGGCTTGACTATTCCAAAACATCCCATCATGGACGTTCCAGCGTCGAATGTTTGCTATGAGGATCTGGTCCATGCCATCATTTTTTGAGGAATTTGGATGAGACCGTTTCCGTGACTTACCGTTGGTCCATGCTATTTCTTGAGCGATAATGTACCGGATGCATTGTAGTCGGTCAACTTCTGTTTTGACGACTGCAGCAACTTTCAGATCAGGCAGTGAGAGGTCAAGCAACGAATACAGATACAGCTTGACTGTCGTTTCGAATGGGGAGCGGGGTGTCACTGGATTCCACTGCCCAGGTTCCCCTGTTCTTCATTGACGAGGATTGGGCAGGCAGATATATTATATAATGGATTGTAATATATTGTGATGGTAATTAATATAGTTACAGTATACATACACTATACACATCCCATTATCAGAAAGTTTTTGTACATCTGTCAGGTAGTTTTCGCCCAGGGTGTACCTCTTTTTGCTGGTGTTCTCTCCCAAAGCATCCCACCGAAACCGCATGCATGTGCGCCTCACGCCGTGGGCACCCAGCGGTGCACTGCTGGCCGTGAGCGGGGCACTGCTGGCTGGACGACGGCGAGGAAGCTCGGTTCAATGCAGCGAGACGTGCGGGACAAGCGCCCCTCCGGTGCGCCAGTGTTGCTTGGCCTCAAGGGACCGAGGGGTCACCGGACGGAGGATATCTTAGATATCAGATGGGTGGGGTGATCGATAAATGGGGCGATCTGAAGAATGTTTCTGGAAGTTGCTGGAAGTTTTGCGAGTGATGTTGCGCAGATGGTTGGTGCCGCAAGACATCCCACAAGACATTCAGATTTGTGTTGTAAAAACCTGTTCATGTTACTTATATATTCATGTATATATATATGTGTGTGTGTGTGTGCGTATGTTTGTTCGTTCTTTGTTTGTTGGTATTGCTGTGCCTTGATTGCTTTGCCGGTCTCCAGCCTTCAGTTTGGACCCCCCAACAACCCGGGTGTCCGCACCCGTTTGCGCCTCCCGTCCTCCGCCCTCGCAGGCTTCATGAGACCCGCGGGTCCGCGCGGCGCCGGGCGTGGATTAGTCGTGAGCCGCGCCGTGCAGCCTGGGGAGATCCTTCTCAAGGAGAGAGCCGTGTCGCTGGGTCGGTCAACACCGGGGGGAGAGGGGGACGAGTGCCTGATCTCGGCCAAAAGCGCCTTGACCCGTAATTGGTCCTGAACAAAGGGGCATTCGGCATAATTTGCTCAAAATAGACTCGGTGTCTTTGTTGTTTGAGGTTCTTGAACATGATGATTGGTTTATTATGGTTTATATGTTAGATGCAAAACCAATCCGGGTTGTGGTGATTCATGATGGTTCGGCCCGACATTATTGAGGTGCGCCCGGGCTGTTCACACCCTGGCTGTTCACACCCTGGCTGTTTCTTCAGTAATTCCCAACTTGTGCCAAACATGTTTGGCGTAGGGGTTGATTGTGAAAACTGACATCCTGCCATGGATCCGATCAAGGAAACCGTGTATAAAAACTATATTGAAATTCAGCAGGCCTGGGAGAAATGCCTGTCATGGTTTCTGAATGGCCCGGCGTCCCGACTCTTCCCTGATGTATTGCAGTGGCACAAAGATGTTGAAGATACCTGGTGAATGGAGAGATTCAATGCCATCACCAAGGGTGCATGGCACCCTTGGACCCACATCAACTCACCCTTTTCACCCACCAGGCACCCTTGGTGTGGAACCACGTGGCACACCAAGTGCTTCACCGTGCCAACCCACGGGTTTGGTCATCCCTCGATCTGGGCGTCATTCCCCAACGATCTCGGCGCAACTGTCCGTCACCATGTTTTTGCTTAGTTGGGGGTTCCCATATGAACATGATCTTGGATGGCTGCACTGGACAGATACGTTTTGCTTTTTTTGGTCCAAATATGAGTTGCATTTGTTCTACAACCACCCTTGTCAAGGGAGGTTGGGTCATCAAAGGGCAAAGCATTATTTGGAGAGTGCTCCGCAGAAGCAAAGAAAGAACTTTGCTTGCCTGGATTGACCTTTCAAGAAAAATGTAGGGTACACATCAAGAAGGTCCGGAAAAGCCCTTCAAGCCGTATAGACTTAGACAAACATTGTCTTGGATCTTTTATATAGGGTATGTTACGGTATGTTCCCTTTTCGGGTATGTTCCCTGTAAGCACTCCCAAACTGTGGATTAAGTATCTCTGTCCCAAGGTGTAAGGATTCCAAGGTACCCAAACTGTGGATGCCAATCCCTTGGTCCACATATGTAAGCCCAAACTGTGGATGGTCACCCTGTGGTTTGGTTTGGGAAAGGGGCTGGAAAGGGCTTGCGAAGACTGACAAGTGGTGGCTTGAGAATCTAGCAAATGAATAACTTTAAAGTCGACAGCTTTTATATTCCTCGGCGTTTCTTTTGGATTCGGCGCTTTTGGATGATTTTGGCTGAAATCAGGGCACAATGGCATCTTGGCAAATTTTGTTGGCCAACGGTTCCGCTAGATATAAGGATGAATGGGGCATGAATAGGTGGCAGGAAATGGGTTGGGCAGGACTTGTTCGGAAAGTATTTCAGCTTTGATACTATACACAGTAATGTACATATAGAGCAGTTGTATTTTTTTCTCTTGTTGCTTTGATGAGTGCTTTACTGTTTTTTCATGAAGAATCCAGCCATTTAGAGTTCAGGTTGGACAGCACCTGCTCCTGGCAACTCATCCAGCAGATCTTCCCTCTCGTGGGCCCAGTCCACGCACAGCCCATTTGGGCCTTGTGTGCCAACTGGGTCGAAGGTGGCGCGAGGTCGCTGGAGGACTTCTACCGAGGAGAAGCGCCGGGCGCGGGCCACTGGGCCAAAGATGAGGAACGATGTTTACGTATTTTTACTCCCGACGTGGATGATTAGGATCCTTGGATATGCCTTCGATTTGGACATCAAACCAGTTAAAACTATGGAAAAGGGGTCAGGGATCGCATGGGAGGACCAAAATCCTGATGGATTCTTGCACCCTTGCAGATGCCGAGTTCGGGATCGCAGCTGAGAACGGTGGAACAAACGGTGGAAAACACATCGGTGTCCGGGAACCCCGTCTCGGCCACGAGACCGTCCATGGTATTTGGCGTTCTTTGGCTTCTGGGAGAAACCCAATCTAGGCCACATACACCTAAACCCTAATTCGATGTACTTGTTTGATGTCTGGAGGAGTATATACTACTTTCTTCTTCTTTTATTCTTATGCTATGTCCACCGCTTCGTTGGCAACATCGCCGCCGGGCGAAGAAGCGCGACAGGCGACATGTACAGGCAGCACGCCAAAGAAATGCGTGGAGCCATGGACGTGCAACTGCAGAGCGTGGTGTCAGAAGACTCGTTCGCAGAGTTCTTGGAGATCGTCCGCTTGGATGCACACATTGTGCGCGACAAAGGACAAACTGGTTTGGGCCTTTTCTTTTGGTGACTTGACAGCAACTTAAGCTTTCATCCTGCCATGGACCGACTCTTCTTTGCTTAACTTCTGTTTTTGCTGCAAAACGCCGAGACCCAAAACGCACAGAACATCCAGGATGTTGACCAACCAACCTCGCGGGTCGAATGCGAGACCTCGCAGGTTACACTTGGCCAACCATAGCTGTTCACCGAATGCTTTCTTCCAGACACATATGGAGCAGGGCCGCGCCTTTGCGGTTTTAAGGGCTTTGCGGCCGATGGAGTTTGAGGAGGAGATCTGCATCTCTTACGTGGACGGTGCTTGGTGCCGCAGCCAGGGGAACAGCTTTGGTATGCTCCTTCTAGAGCTTTGGTAGCTGCCCCCATGTGAAAACCTGCTTCGATCTCCACACTTAGACATTCAACGGCTCCACCGAGGTGCCATTTCACCAGTCCCGCAGCCTCCCTCAGGTGCCACACTACTTCAGCCCCGAGCTGTGCGGCAGAAGGTGGGCGGTCGGGGGTCGGGGAACCGACATGTGGCAGCAAAAAGGGCACCAGGCAGTCTGAACAAGCAATATCAACCAATTGAATGGGTCCTTTTGGTAGGTATAGTACCTGGCATCCGACCCCTTTCATTATTTCCAAAAGGGCATCTTCGGCGTGAACCCTTTCAGGTGCTCGAGAACCGCTTTGGCTTTCGCTGCCGCTGTCCGCGCTGTGAAGACCACTCATGAGACGCAGGAAGGAGGCTGGGGAGCATGCGTTTCGGGCCCTACCCCATGTGCAAATCTATGATATGATATTACAATGTAATCGTGCAATGAACAGCTCAATAACTTTCACGAAGCGTCAACACGCAGATTGTTGCGGTCAGTGCGCAGTTGCACACCATCCATCTACACCATCCTGGCGGTGAATAGTAGGATAGTATGATCTATATGTATATTATATAGTAGGATGTCCGGGCTATAGTCCACCCAGGTGTTCCCTATAGGATTGTTTGCTTTTCCCAAAGCTCTCCCCAAGACATCGGAGATTTGGGGTTACTCCGCTCCCCTGGTGGAATTTCCGAGCGCTCACCCCTTGTCTCCAGGCTGGACCTCCAAGGCCTCCAACTCCTGGCGGAGTCGGTCCTAGGGATTTCTGATGGAGGCCAGCACCGGTTTGAACTTCCAGGGATTCCCCTTCTCCCACAGAGTCCGGTCGATAAGAAGAAGGGTCTGACTCTGAGGTACAAGACCTGATGTCGGGAATGCTTCACTGGGACAAAAGATCGTACCTTTTTGACTTCGGAGCTTTGAAAAAACACGGGTCTTTTCCGGAGGTTTCGGACAGGGCCCCTTGCGCCGCGGGTTCGGTGCACCCTGAAATCACGCGTCCCATTGATGTGTTGCTGTTTTCGGGATGCCACTCCCAGCATCCGTCCATTCCCTCGCTGCAGGGGAAGCGAGCGGAGAAGCTCGCCGAGCGGAACGGCCCAAGCGGCGCCCAGACGACCGAGGATGGGACGAACGGAACGTGTACGCAGGATTTGTCCAAAGTCTGAGAGCAGACATCGACTGAGAGCAGTAGGCGAGTAGACCGTTGATTCATTAACCCATAGTAACTCCAAAAAAAGAGGAAACACAATAAGACCCCCAAAGATCCCAAAAGTAAAAGGTTTTATAGTAGGTCTTATATATATAATACATTCCAAATGGGTGGTTGTTGATCAACCGTCTACATGACCCTTCCACTCGGTGAGGAGCAAAAGGCCTTCGCCGCGTCTCACCTTCGTGTGGATCCCGGCGGGGCGAAAAGGAGGGCAGTAAGGAGGGCTCCACGGGGTTGGATGAAACGATGGTTTGCCACTTGGGTTCTGGGCACCGGAAGTGGCAAGATGTGAGAACAGTAGATGACTGTGCTGAGAAGATCCCTCAAAAGCAGGTCAAGGAACTGAGATGAGGTCAGTCGTTGGTCGCTACACTGGGGGGGAGGTCTTCAGGTCGTTGCACTGAGTACTGGTATTCCGATGTGTTTTGATGTCCCTTCCTTGTTCCTACTGTGCCCCCAAACAGCCTAGACCGGACACCGGTGATTTCGTGTCGCAATGCAGTCCTGTCGTCAATGACCTGCCCAAATTTCTAGGGAATGTATGCGGATAGGGCCCTTTTGGCCAACAAATGAACTGAGCAAACTTCAATTCTTATTGATCTTGACTAGCTAAGTACTATATAGCTACTGAACTGCTTTTCGACCTCGACCTCGACAGCCAACCACCCAACCACCGGCAGTATTTGCTGCGGCCCTGGGCTGGCTCAAGCAACTGGGTCTTGCTCCACCGATCCCGGTGGCGAGGATTCAGATCCTCGGTGGAAAAGGAGGACCCCAAAAAAACAACCAGAGAGGGCGTCTCAGAGAGGGGACGTCCCCGTGGCCCGGGGCGCTGGTGCCGTGCTTTTCCCTCCCGCCCCCAAACCACCCCCCCAACTGATCGGCAAAAAAAAATGCAAGTCCCCTGGGTCGCGTCTGGGGTTGAGATCTTTTTGAGATGTGTTTTGACGCCTAGAATTTCTTATGGATTCCGGATGATCCGTGTACTCATTTGGCAGTAGTACTTTGTGTTGTCTGGCGGGAGGCATAAACTAATGTATATACATGTTACAATGTGTGTCAAACACTGCGGCGAACACTGGAATTGAAGGCAGCTGGGTGGAGATGTTGATGAGTTTCTAATATGTACATCTTTCAGCATTCAACGGAAAAGGAAGAGCTCTCTAATTGCAGATGCTCTAGAATCTTGATTATTGATACCTAAAACTCCCCCAGTTGAATTGCGAAACCTCTTCATGAGGTTTTGGGTTTGTTTATCAAGTTTAATCCGTCAGTTGATCACAATTCCACAAAAACAGGAAACTTCCTTTTTCCAAGGCGACCCGCGGGTCGCCAACGTGCCTCCACTCGGGCTTCGACTCCGTGTTGGTCTCTTTTTGTTGGCCTCGTACTGACCCCTTTTCGACCTACTTCTCCACTTTCACTGTTTTTTGGGGCCCGAAAAAGCTTCTGTTTACGACCTAACTTGAGGATCGCCAGTGACCCTGATGGAGGCAAGGGAAAGTGGCACAAATGATGGGCTCTCAATTCGGATCAACCTTCAAAGAACCGAACATGGTGGTGTTTTTCTTAGCCCGCTCCCCCTCTCCCTACTTAATTAAGTAGGCGCCTCATGAAGGGAGGTACGGTAGCTCCTACCTGCAATTGGACGCTACTAGTAAGGACGCAGGATAGCTCACGCTATTCATTTGGTTCCTAGATGTTTAGGGAAACTTAAGGTCACTTGCTGTAAAACACTGAATTTGTTTTGTTGAGATCTACAGTATAAATACTATCTAACAGGATCTAACAAGGATTCTTATTGAAGCCAAACCTCATTTGGGCCATCAGATTCGGCTTACGTGAGTTCTCTGGGCCAATGTGTTGAGCTAGTCCGTTCCGAATGTGCTGAGCTAGACCACCCAATGATATGTACCAAGACCATCCTAGACCGAAGTCAGAGCTTCAAAGAACAATGCACTGCATAACACATGTATACACATGTTGCTGGCCCCAAATCGGGATCATTCATCGGCAGCGCACCAAATATCATACCTCTCTTGCCTCTCTTGCCTGCAACTCACCAACTCATGGCCTGGTCCCCTGTCAGTCGGAACACGAGCTCCCCGAGCGCCAACACGAGCGCAGAACGTCCGTCGCAGCGCAGAACTTGCATCAGTTCGCCCGCCCCCCAAGGAATGCAGCCCTGGGGCCTTCCGGCCGGCCGCCCATCGATTCTGTCGCCGGGCGGGCCAGTCGAGGAGGCGGCCGCGCGGGCATCTGGCGCGTGCGCCTTGTGCGTCTGGTGCGGGGTTGGTTGAAATGAAAAAGGTGTTCACATGATTTCCCATGTCAACTCTTGCATGAAAAATACGACATGTGAAGAAGAGAGACGCTTTAGGATTGTGAGGTCATTCTATATGCTCATTGAGTCATTCTGTTCTCCCGCACTGGCTTAGGAGGTCCTGAAGGTGTTGTGCCATGTCATGGAAGAAGTCCAGGAAGAGACCCTGCACAAAGCAATTTCTCCTTTTGACATCCTTTGACATCCTTTGTACCAATCAGACAAAAATGTGTGTGTTTTTTGCTAATCTGCACAAAACTATATACAATAGTCAAGGTTGACATCGTGCCACGGGGCTGCTGATGCGTGGTCAGCTTTTGAACACTGGCTGCATGACCATAACTCCCAACACACACACATCCCGAAGAACCCTGTGCCGGACCTGTTTGCATGATCTTGCATGTTCAAAACAAAGGTGTATTGCAATCCGGTGTTGCTTCCAGCTCAGCAGTTCCATGGCGGGGTGCTTATGGGAAAGAAGGATCAGGATGCCCAAAAAGCCACCCCTGACTGTGGGTCCCAAAAGCCACCCCGACCATGGAAGCTCCTGGCATTGGCTGCTCCAGCGGGGTCGGTCCTTCGGATTTCCTGGGCGACGTGGACAGAAAGCCTGGGAGGATGGCAGGGAGGATGGCAAACCTAGCATCCCTTGTTTTAGCTGGAAGAAGGATGGGACATCCGTTTGGACCCAAGTGTTTCGAAACACTTGTTCTTTGCAGGTGCTCCATTGCAAGGGTTCAGGGTTTCGGAACCTTCTCATCTCACCGTGATGATGTTGGCACAATGACTTTTTTGTGTCAAACTGTACACCCTCGTGCTTTGGGCAGTTTTGCAAATAGACTCAAGGGCTTCCTTTGGATCGGTGGATGTCAAAGACAAACATGGGGCACATGGAGCTTGCGGGCCCTATACAAAGCCCTTTTCAGCTTCCATGTGGGTCTCATTGAAAGGTGCTAAGTGTTTTTTCATGTGTTTTTTTCGATGCTTTGCCTTACGCTCCCCGACTTACATGTGTTGACCTTCCCAACGCTGCCGCTGTCGCCGCTGTGCCGGGTCAGGTCACACGGCATGCGGACCGTGTTTCACCAGGCGGTGTCGGTCCGTCCGGTGTCGCGTGGACCGTGTTTCGCACGTCGACCTCAGCGGTTTCGCGGTTCGAAGCCGCCGGTTTGCCAAAAAGCACCAGCTGAGCTTGCTTGCCTGCAGTGCTAGGGGTGAAACTGTTTGCAGGACATGTATGTGAGAAATTGCCGTTATATGCCGTTATTCATTTGATACAAGGCCGTTGATTCAAGGTGATATTCAGTATTAGTTGGAAGACGAGATGGGACGTCTCAAAAATCAGTATCCAGAGGTCCAGAAGTACCCACACTTAAATTGTGCAGTATATATATGCTTGGATGTTGATGCCCCCAGTGTTCATGTGCAAAACGCTGCAAAACGATATGGGACCTTCAAACGTCGAATGAACACACCCTAAACATACAATTTAGAGAACGGCTCAATGTAATGCTGAGGTCTTCGTTTAAAACAGCATGGAAAGTGAACCCAAGCTTGTCCCACATTGCTGATGCCAAGACCTGTTCTGGTCAAAGTTTCTAAACAAAAGTTTTCGGAGTGTTGGCACAGCCTCTAAGGTTTGTCGAGTCTGGTGGGTTGAACTATTTTGATCATGCTTGATCATGGTCTTGGACGACAAGCTCTGGATCAGGTGCCTCCATCTCTTTGTAAATTTGCATATGGTCACCCCCGCAGAACATCCCCCAATCATCAAGTCAGAACATCCCCTGTTTGATCCATTTGTGAATTTGGACCCTGTCAAACGGGGCAGGATTTACAGGGTGGAACTACAGCAGTGGTGCAGGATGTTCGGTCCATGGTCCCCCACAAGTGAACAGCACCAGCCAAGCACTCCTCGCGCGTGGCGGAAACGCCCGGCCGCGAGGTGGCACTGATCAACACGCGGGTTTCGTCATCGGTGTTGATCAATCTCATCGATCTCCTTGACCCAACTGATTCACCGTATCGTATCAGGATACAACAGCAACAACAACAACAACAACCCGTGTTTAGAATTAGTCCTTTTGTGGAATCCAAGGTGATGGGCAATGTACTTCTTACCAAACACCTCAAACAAGTCTCCTCGGGGTCACCATTTTCCTGGTCGCCTCACCGGTTGGATAAACTCGCACGCCGCACGCGCTGCAAACTTCAAAGATTCAAATTTCAGTGGAGTTTCACGTGAAAGTTAGGTGCTTCACCTGCTTCAGGGCTTTAGGGCATGGCAAGTTCGGTGCTGCACGTGCTTTCATTGAGCGCTACGGTTTCAGCATGTCTCACACAACGCGTGGTCACACACATGGCTGCTTCAACTCGCCATGACATGCCTGGTTTTGCTTTAGGTGATTTAAGGTGAGTTTATGTGATTTTACAGCTGTGTTTTCGTATTTCCCCCTATATGGTTACGGTTCAATCCCCAAACCTCTGGCACATATGGATGTTTGACTTCTTCCTGGTTCCTTTCCGGGTAGCAAATGCCAGCAGCTTGGTGTCCTCTCACCCCCAACGTGTCAGGCGGAGAGCGGAGACCGCAGCTGCCCGTGCAGCCCGCCCAGAGGCCTGCGCAGGGCGACGAAGCGGTGGTTCTGGCGACATGGTGGGCTTCGTTCGTCGCACCAAGCCGTTGATTGGAAAATGAGATGAAATGAGGAGTTTTGGTGCAGCATCATGTCTCATTTCACGAGTTATGTGTGTGTGTGTACTGCTGGGACGAACTCTGGGACGATTTGGCCTGGCCGAAGCGGCAAGACACTGCGTGGTGTTTGGCTTTCGACAGCTTGACACTCAGCAGGGTGATGAAGTTATTGCTTCGCAAATCCAACATTGTTGCTTGCCGGCTGTCAAACTCGAGCATGCTAAACCATGGACAGGCCAAAGACGTGCACACATTGTCACGCGTTGTCGTGTTTGATCGTGTCTATGTTTCCGGTTGTTGGCTTGGGGAGGTTGAGACAAGGTCTCACACACAGGCTTCTTCGCCGCCTTCAAAGTCAAGTTTAAAAAGCTACGTGGTCCACCACCTTTGTATATACGTGGTCCCTCTGTCTAGATAGAATTTCGTTTCTATCCCGTAGAAAATGCATTGAAAACAACTTTAAAGAATTGGTATGTAAAAAAATGCCGTAGAAAATGTATTGGACACCGTGCAATCCTATCTATTTGGGGACACCCTATATTCTAGTCACGCACTGAACTGTCTAGTCCTCAAAAATGTCGTCAATAGCTCGAAGAAAGCGAACAGTCCACATGGCGCCCACACTCTCGCGTTTTCCGCACACTCTCGCGGTATGTGTTTGTTCTCGAAGGGACCCACTGCACACGCCAGTATTGACCCTAACCCCCCGTCCCCCGCAATTCAATCAGGTCATCCGACGATACTGCTGTGATTTCGCAATGACAATGTGATGAAATCGACCACGTGAAAAATACAGAAATCACCGGGTTGCGAAGGCAGTACCGTAACAATAACTATCGTGGTGTAGCACTTGCTCCTTTTTGTTGCTGGAAACTGGTTGATGTTGTTTTATCTCCCCAAATTTGTCAGCCAGTGTCGGCACATGAGAGTGGGGGCATCCCATGTGATTCGTCCGCTAGTGCAAAGGGCATTCTCAGAAATCGTGGTTTCTGGTGGAGTGCTGAGAAGTGCAATGAAGCACAGCATGTTATAGATTCTAGATGTTATACCAGGACCCTCCAAGGGGTGCCCTGTCTGGAAGCCTATAGTTGTGTTGTGTTTTTGGGCTTGTTCTAGGTTCCAAAATATTTGAAAAAAAAAAGCAATAAAAAAGCAAAAACAACCCAAAGCAAAAATGCAAAGAAGACACGCACTGCCTAACAAAATGCAAAAAAATGCAACCCTAAGTGCAAGCTCTCTGAGGTGACAACCACTTACCAGCAGAAGAATTGGCTGTTCAATCTCAACCCACTGGGATGAAAAGAGCCCAAGCAATCCCAAACGTGATTTGGTAACACTAGTTGAACGGTAGAAAGTGTTATTATGCGCTCGCTAGAATGGATGCCCCTACTAGCCGCCGAGCCGTCTATATGGAGTGTAGGACCTAGGAGTTTATGATGGCCGCGCTAGGAAGACCTCAACCCTATAGACTGCAGACTTCGAGACCCCAGGTAGGCCTAGGGCCTCTAGAGATGGAGGAAGGAAAGCCGAAAGCCAGCACTTTATTTCGCTTTTTTTTTGCACTTCAATTTTGGCAGGTCTACCCCCCCACACTTTCGGCGCATTGTTTTTGCACTTTTTTTGCTTTTTTTTCGCTTTTTTATCGCTTTTTTTTCGCTTGTTTTTCGCTTTTTTTCGCATTTTTTTTGCATTTCACTCGAGACATCCTCAAATTTTAGTTTCCCAGATGCTGCCTGGACAGGTTCCCAGGGTCTGCCTGTCCCCCCCCCTGTCCCCCCCCCCCCTCGCCAGCCGCGTCCCCGCGCCACCCTAACCCCGCCCCCGCCCCGCGCCCACCCAAGCCCTTCCCCACCTGCCCCGTCCCCGCCCCCGCAGCGCAACCTGCCCAGCTGCCTACCGGCCCAGCTAGCAAATCAAGGGCATGCAAACAGTTGTCCTTTCGGGCCTTCGTATTCCAACGGCTGTCTCAATTGACCTTTACCAACGGACAAATCGAAAAGATAAGAAACATCAAGAAACAAAGACAGAGAAAGAAAGAGAGAGAAAGAGAGCGCGAAGGAGTCCGCGCTTCCTTTGTTGTGGCAGTGGATCAATCTAGCCATTTTTTTTGCACTTTGGTGTGCTTTTTTTGGATTGCGTCAACCTAGCCTTTTTTTTGCATTTTTGGGTTGCTTTTATTTTGGATTGTTTTTGCATTTTTTTCAAAGTGGGCATTTCCTAGTGGAAGCCCACAAGAAAACAACACAAGCCTATAGGTAGTGTGGGGTAGTCCAGCCAGGACACCCCTTGGAGGGTCCTGGTATACTTTAACCATTCCTGTTGAATCTATGGAACTCTGTCGTTTCATGTTTTGGGATCGGCAACCCTGTTTTAGGTGCGTAGAAGACGCCCTGGTGGAGTATGTCCCGCTCTCCGCAAGAGGTGGGCTGGGAGATGAGTTGATGAACGATTTGGAGTTTTGTTGTCTTGAGCAGGGAATTGAGTTGTGTATACCACCTGGACAGCTACGAACAGGACTCCTGCCCTTACTACTAGGAACGATCGGACGCTACTAAGGGGGGCTCCTGGCATCGCTACTAGGAGCGATCGGACGCTACGAACGGGGCGCCCCACGATCCACTCCGAGGTTTCATCGCCTCCGTCGAAGAGCCGACCACGGCGCCGGCGAGCAGAGTCGAGGAAGTCTCTGGATCCGATTGGAGTCCGTTCTTGTCCGGGCTTCCCAGTTTCGTTGCACGTAGCTTTTGGCTTCATCAAAGTACCTGGAATGAATATATCATATCATGATGTTTATCTCATGTGAGGAATGGATTTATTCGTCAATCCCGGTACGTACACTAACTAGTTTCATGGCTTCATGGAAGTCTGTGGGTTTCATGGAGTGAGACCAAGGGCACCGGTCAAAAAACTAAAGCAATTGGTGGGGGGCTTTTCTCGGCGGTTTTCGCAGAGAGCTGTTCAACGCTTCGGCACACCTGAGGATCCCCGGTGTGCTTCCAAGAGGACCCGATCCGCGGGAGCTGAGGCCGTTGGAACCGGGGGAACCGAGGATCGAACCATGCGACCGGTGGTTTCCGGCGCATGGAAACGGATGAACAGACCAACGGCAGGGTTCAGAAGATATGGTGAAATCATGGTGAAATCGGGTTGATGTGTGTGTGTGTGTGTAACAGGTTTTGTTATGAGGTTTGGCTTATCGGTTGTCCTTGTTCATTTGATGTCCTCTTCATCACCTCCACCTACATTGCGCGTTGTTTCATGTCCTCCCTTCATGACTTTCACTGTGTGTTTGTTTTTTACTTTGTCGCGCGCACATGTAATTACTTCATTCGCCCCCCCATTGGGGGACGTGTTTGTGTAACCCTTCGAACCATAGGGAGCCGTTTTTGTTTTGCGTTTAAAGCAGGGGCTGCAAGGAATGTCATAGTTCTGCAGCCCACGAAGACAGCCATGATATTCTGTGATCTCGCTGGAGACGTCCAGTGACGTGCCTTCTGTGATAACTTGATACTACCTTGTGGGCCCAAGTTTGTATCTGGAACAAGTCTTCGTCCGTTGCACCAGTTTGCAGTCAAGGGCTCGTGTTGCTCATGAATTCTTGGCGCTTGAAACTTTGTGAGATTTTGTGAGTCTTGGCGCTTTTGGATATTGAGACTTTTTGGATTACGAAAACTTGGGCTTAAAGATTGATGGTTGGGCCGGCTTGCATACTACCTGCTTTTGGCTTCCACAATCGAACGCATATTATCTAGTGCCCATGCTTGTTGATGTGTGCGTGTCGCTTGCGACATTGCAAGACGTGTCGATTCCAGCTGTATCTTGGAGAGGTTTTAAGAATGTTTTGGCGTAAGAGGTGGCTGGAAACTCAAAGGACGGAGTCCCGGTGAGTTCTTGGCAGGGCTTGAACTCCTCATGTTCTCAAGTACTGGGACTTCTCGGTAGTGGGTAAACTTGGACGATGAGACTACAGGGACTGCCATAAGCAGAAACTACTGATTGCTTTGGCTTTGGGCTACAAGCACGTGTGTGACAATCAAGGAAATTGCTCCAAACGAGATTCCAGGTGATTTTTTGGGGATGACACTTGTGCACCCTCTCTTCTGCTGGCTTGCTCAGGCCAACAGACTAAAACGTGAGGGCAAAATGCCTGGTTTTCCAAACTGGGGGACCGACAGATACTCCAAGACGAGTCGCCTGTGAAAAGTCACTTGTTGGCGCCCAACGACAAGGGATCCAGGGAGAACGGACCCTCAATGCACTCATTATTGTAGTGGACGTCTTTTGGACGATTTATCGGTTTCGAGTCTCCAAGTTTGTTTGGTTATTGACTTTCTCTTCTTGTGGCTTGCTCTATGAGAGTCTGGACTGCCGGTACTTACTTGGAATTTCGTGGCTGGAGCTGTTGCGTATTGGTCGCGGTTTTTCGCTGCATTTTCGGCTGCAAGCTTTTCCTGTCCTTACCCTTTACCAGCCACTTCTTGCCGGAATCATGGCTGCCCCAGCAATCAGAGCCCGCCCCAACTACGATTCCCCGCTCAACCCTTTTTCCCACGCTACGAACGAAAACCTGCTGCGGGGTGAGCACTGCGTGGACGCAGATGGCAAACCCTGCACAGCATTTATGGTTTTGAAAGACAGGGTCTTTGAGGGGAAGGACTCGCACGTGCTCACGGACTATGTGTGCACGTTTGGAGCTAACACGGAAAGCGTATGGTCTTTGTCTTTGGCTCCTCTACTTTCGATTTTTGGGCGAGGTTTGTAACGCTTGCGGAGCCAGCAGAATTCCAGAGGGCGAATTTGGAGTTTTTCGGCCCGCCCTATGTGCCACGGCACCTTCTTTTTGTGCGACCAACACTGCCACGCTTTTTGCTTGGTCTAGTTGTATTTGGGACCGTTTAGCGTCTTGTGTTCCGGTGCGAGCCGACGTTGCAAGTGAGATTGGAGGCCGGAAGTTGCGCAGGAAACTTCACCACAGGAAAGCCGATCCTGCGAATGTAGATTTTGACTTGTTACCGCTCTTCAGTGCGCACGTGTTACAGTTATAGTTGATGAGGTCTCAACCACATCGACAATTACTATGGCATTCCATTGGCGAATATAGAAATCCGTGTTTGCTAGTGTTCTATGTGTTGGTGGTGGAGAACAACCATTGGTTGCTGTTGAAAGCCAAACGTCATCACAGCTTGCTTTGGACATGTTTGAACCTTTTCCATCTGGATCTCGAGCCGCCAGTGCCAGCCGCCGTGCGTCCGTGGATTCGCTGGGGGCACAGTGACTTGGTGTCAGAGGCGGAGGCGGAGATGGATTGGAAAGGAGCTGTCTAGTTAAGAGCTGGATTTTTCTTGAAGAATGAGGAGTTGCATAGTCCCTTAGTTTGTTGGTCAAGGATGATCAGGGAGGGTGCTCTTAGGATCGATCAACCCATGTCACGAAAGGTTGCTAGGCAACCTTGAGTTTGATAAGCTTTAGCTTTGGGGAGGTTGGTAGTTCCAAATCTTGCAATAGTTGCTGAACATTTTGGTTCCGCCACTCGTGTTTAATCAGTGTTTCTTAATTTGCATGCGGACTGTGGGTGCAGGTATGTCAGCATTTTTGAAGGTTAGAGGACCCAAAGGTCATGCAAAGTTCACCATGGGACACAAAATTCAATCCAAGCTGTCGTAGTACTGTAGGGATTGCTGCACTTGGACACCAACCGGTAGCAAATAGCACAACGACAAAGAGTTCACGATGGCGCTTGGATGTTGTGTCAATGGGTATGCAATGCAGTGGGATCTTACACACATGCAATGTGCAAGGTCAGCGAACGGCAACACGCCTCATCTATATACAAGTGATATTGATGCAACTGTATTTTTCTGAAAACATCACCAGACGATTCGGCCTGACCAGTCCCTGAGGTTGACCATTCTTGATTCATCTCCTGTTCCCGCAAGCCATGACATGGCCATCACAGGCGTTTGGCGTTGCTGTTTCCAGGAACGTTCCAGGATTGATCTTCAACCTCCTACCAAACAAGTGGGGGAGTGTCAAAAGGACCATGTGTGGACATCTCTTTGTCATTCTGAGGCTGAGGTTCATGCAAACCGGGTGGGAGGATTTAAGGTGGATTTGGAGGGAGAAGGCCACTGAGGGTCAGGAATTGTTCAGAGCGGCAGAAAGTTCTTCAGTTTCGGCGGTAGGCCAGGTAGGGAGCCTTTCTGAGGGCCAGAGTCAGAGTGTTAACAAGTCATGGAAGTGGCAAATATGATATCGTGGGCTGTTTGCTTGGGGTAAGATAAAACCAAAAGTTTAGAAGGATTTGAAGCAACTGATTACCGGAATTTTATCTTACACCCAAGTATCCACTTCACAACCAAGATCATGTCATGATCCCATAGGTGTTGTTTAGTGAGATAAAGGATTTTGACCAAGTTCGGATTTTGGGAACCCCCAAGAACAACGCAAGACCGTCAGATCTGTCATGATATCTCTTCACGCCTGTCGAAAACCCCCACGGAGTCGACACCACATGACTCGTGTCACTCCTGTCCATCGCAGGGGAGCCTAGCTGGAGGGTCACCGCGATCTGCGGCTCGGGCCAAGTGCTGGTAGGAGCCCCCAGCCCGTCGACATCGACGATCGCCGCGTGGACCAGCGGTTGGGGGTCGACTCGGTTGGGGGTCGAAGCGGGAGGAGACCGGTGTGTGGAAGGGTGCGAAAGGAATACTCTTAAGGAACGGAAGGAGTGGTGGTGTTCTGAGCATCCAACGAAACATGACCGAGCATCCTCAGTGGTTGTGGGGAGGTAGTTCTTAGCCCTTTGCGGCAGGAGTCCTTTGGGGGGTCAGTCTAGTTAATTTGAGATAGACCCCTGCATTGAGATCTCAAGGTGGGGTGAAAGCAACAGCTGTTAAAATTAAAGGAGCTGTGTGTGGCCTCAAGTTGGGACGCGCCTTGGCAGGTCACAAGCGAGTCAAGACCTGTTGGTTGTTTGTCCTAGCTGGGTATCCCAGCTTTACTGTTTGAAGTTTTTGTTCTAGATTCTACACTGAAATACACTGAATGCTTTGACTGGCAGCAACTAGGTTGGGGGCGTTGTGCGGCTATGCCGGTAATGAAGTATAGTTCCAGTGTGGGGCAGGTGTCCCTGCTGGTAATCCCTGCTTTTTTTGTAGCTCGCATCAATCGGCATCCTGAAAGTTTGATGTGAGAAGCCCCAGATCTGCACAAGTTCTCACCAGATCCCTTCAAAGCATCATGTCATTTATCATCTCAGCCACCAATAGTGATCCACAAAATGGCCATCAAAGCACCTGCTAGTGAGATGAACATCGGCGCGAGATGAAGACCACTCCCAAACAGAGCAACGGCCCTGGGTGTTTCCTGCTCCAAAAGCACCCATGTCTTCCAACCATCGAGCAGAAAACGATAGCACATGGCTTCAAAATGGCTAGATCAAGTGGCTTCGACATACTCCATCGCTCCCAAGTTGCTAGACATGTCCCCCCCGATCGTTTCCCCCCCCATCGAAGGGCATCGATGTTCTTGACGCTTCACCGACACGAAGTGAACATGTTGGTGTTCCCAGACACTCCATGGCACTGGAATATATGCCACGAGACATTTGTTCAATCAACCGGCCCTAATTTGTAAGGCACAAGATGTCAGTCCCATGGATGTCTGTTGGGTGTTGTTTCTTCTTTCCACCCCACTCACCGTTCACCCCACCCCTCACCTCTCAGTCACCAGGTGGGCGAGGAGTTTCACCCCGAGCTGGGAGACGTGGTGGCGACTTGGAGAAGCGAGACTCCATGGCAGGGGTCGGACCCGACACCGAAACGCAGGGTTCCCAAACCCTATCTGTTTGAGGGCCCGGAGTCTTAGGGTAGCAGCAAGTCGGTTGGATTATTTTCAGACCCTACTTACCAGGAGCCATTCGATTGGTATTTTTTCGCACCCTACTTGCTGTTTTTTCTCGATCTGTTTGGAACCTTTGTTGGCTTTTGCCAGGGAATGAGAGATACCCAATGGTTGATGTTTCTTTGGGATCAAATGGCTCGATGTCTTCGTCGAGACCGATGTGTTCGTCGGTTCGCTCCAAAGGTGCTGGAAGACATGTGGAGTCCTCTCGCCCCACCTCCTGGGCGATTCTTCATCGATCTCCGAAGTCCGAAATCGGACGAGATCCACTTGAGGGGAGTTTCTTTTTTCGCTCGAAACATCTCTCTTCCCTTTTCCCTGAGGAACAGATCCACCAGCCGAAAGCTTCAGTTCATTGCTTCATCCAGTTTCCGAAAAGGGGGGGCTATTAATAAATATCAATAATGTAGACTCTTGATCAGAAAGCCCCGTTATGAAGAGGTGTTTCCATTCAATTGAGGGAGGTTATTATATAAATCAAGAGTCTACCATAGAAATAAGCTCGTCATTTTCTGCATGCCTGCAGAAAGGGCGAGTGCAGGCATGCAGGGTCACATCGCTCTGTGGACCTCGGCAAAGGAGGGGGGACAAGCATCCATTAATGTGCGAATTTTCGTGTTTTGACTCAGAGGTTCATCGTGCTTTGACTCTGCACATGACGCAGATGCACGTTTCAGGCCTGTGTGGGTAATGTGATGCTGCTGAAACATGGGCAGCAAGTGTTGCTCTGCAGATACCCGGCGTATGCCCAGATGGTTCGTGTTGCTCGGCGTATGCCCGCGGAGTCATCTGGGCAAGCAGGAGGTTGTCCATCTAAGAAAGCAACGTTGCAGCCAGCAGAGTGTGTGGATTGCCATGTTGCTTTCTTAGCGTTTCGTGAGCTTCAGTATATAGGATATTAATGGATGTTAGAGGTCATTCACTCATCCCGTCAGAACGCATTGCAAGAAGTGTACGGAAGGGGCTGCCACGTCAGAGAGGGTTGCTTGTTTGTCGTAGAATCCAGCCGAACACGACCATGGCCAGTTTTTGTTTCTTGTTTGAGGCATTCCTACCTTGCGATACGCGTTGATGTTAGCTCCTGTTTTTGTTTTACAATGTTTTACAGGTCTTTGTGGCTTCAGGTTCATGGGTTAAGGAGGCTTAAGGGGGGTTGCCTTTTAATAGTATGTAGTTATGTATGTAATATACCATAATATACTGAAATGGTTCTCAAAGGTAATCGGTCGTTTGTCAGCAAGACTTATCGAACCCTGTCGTTTTTTCGGGCTCAGTCGTGGAGCCTAAAGTCACTCCATCGAACCTGCCAAGATGGATGTGTGATATTCATTAGGGGGACCCCCTGGCCCTAGGCGGCTAGACGGGTCTATTTCCCGAACCTTCCAGGGAAAGAACGGCTGGTGTCGGTCTCCATATGTTCAGCTACACACCCATATCCACCCATGTCCGGCACAGGCCCGGACATGCCCCAATGCCAGCGTGTGGCCCTTTTCCATGGGCTGTCAATGTATTGGGCTGGTGTTTTTCCGTGCTAACGATGGAATGTCAAACACCAGCCCAATTGAAATTGAACTCATTTCTTGGGTCGAAAGTGGTCGGGTTCCTGGCATTCTTTTGTTTGGGCATTGAACTCGTCCGTTGCTCGGAACGGAACCGTGTCGCACCTGGTCGCACGACGCGGGGTGCCGCCCGACGCAGTCAGCGTCAGATGTTCTGAGGTTCAATACTTCTGCAATCGCTTGCTGCTTGGCCAAATAGCTTTGGAGACACAGCTACGGCCCCGGCCCAACAGGAAAGAACATCGTTCAAACTACCATGACACTTCACGGATATCCCGAACTTCGGGATAGTTTCATGCCAGCCAGGAAATCGCAAGGCGACTGCCAGCAGTTCTCCTCCGACTGGCAAGTGCCGCTTCGACAAGAAGAAGCCTTCATGGACAGCGTGTTTGGGTGCAAAGACATGGAAGGAAGCAGGAAGGAGAAAGCCATGCAAGCAGCGAATGTCCTTGCTAGAGAAATGGGTGTGGCTCAGGTATCACACCGACACCACTGACAAGAAAAAGATTAGGGATCCAGACTAGTGTGTTTATCGAGGTCTTTGTTCCACAACCACTGATGCAGTATTTCCAGAAAGTGTCCCACTCGTTCCTCACTCCTTCACCCTATTATTCAATACCATATTATAGAACAAAATAACATACGTTTGCAAGTGTACACTTCCCTAAGACCCGCAGCTCCTCCAAGAGACCTGACACCCTCCTTCACCCGTGTCCACGTCGTTCCTTCTGCAGGACTCCTTGGCGTCCTTCTTAGACTGCCGGTTGGCCGCGGCGGCCAGGTGTGGTGGGTCCGACCCGCGGAAGTGTCAAACATGTAACAAGTGTATACAAGTGTGGGAGTCGAAAAGCATTAGAATTATATCCTCATTGAACTGGATTGTGTTCCAAAATTAGAAGACTCACAGGGCAGAAACAGTTCTTTGGAGGGAAAGCATATTTAACCAAGTTCGCTGCGATGCTCAACGGCTGATGCTCAGTTGGTTGAAGTGTTTTTTGTTTGCGGGGCTCAGGAGCTTGGTCCAGCCTGGAGTGACTTACTCTTCCTCTGGGCTGCAATCGACCAGCGACTGGGCGGTTTCAGCGGTGTTGTTTCGGAGCGTTCCGGAAGCCGGGTTGGAGGCACACAGCGGCCAGTTTGGGGCGCTGAGGATTGAGGATGTTTGGACGTAAAACAGCTGTCTCAGTGGTGGAGTTCGGAGAAACATTTCAAAGTTCAGAAGCAGATAGAAATGGAAGATTTGAAAGCACATTTCTATGTGTTAATTATATATATAGTGATGCTTTAAGTTAAAGTCTTTCTGCTTGTCGTTGAGCATAAGGCATCCATTTTGGATGTTTATGAACACATCCCCACACAGAACTGTGCCGTTTTCGATATCCCTTTCAGGTCTGCACCTTTGGCAAGACGCTTGTCCACAAAGCTATGTGGCTTCTTTGACGACTGCTGCCAACATGTGGAGCCTTGGCTTCGGCAGCCGAGAAGAAACTGACTCTTCCATCAGAAAATTCTCGAGCGGATATCGGCGAGTCCTGCGTGGTGTCCACTGGTGTTGGTGTCCACTTACTTTCCTCAATGAGGTGCATGGAAAACATGTTATGTCTTTTGGGTCTTTTGGCCCCAAAGCCGAACCGGCTGCTTCCTGCGGGGGCCTTTGGTGCGAGCGAAACCTGCCAGCTCGAGCCACCGGTGGGTCACCTCCTACCCGGGGGGTACATGGATCAGCCCAGGCCGGGGTTCTCTGAAATCCAACAGGTGGACGGTTTACCGTAAGATGGTCCAAGGGAGGGGGAAGGTGGGTCAGGTATCAATGATTGCTGCCGCCACCTGGCGGCCTAAGCCAGGATCAAGGGGATGAACTCCTTGAGATACTACATCATTCAATGGAATTTCATACTTCAACGTTTGGTGCTGCCCTATTGATTCATCAAAAGAGGATCCTTCATGCAGACGCAAACGAGCATCCTTCCAGGAAAGCCGTGATCAATGGCTACAGCGGCGGGCCCTTACTGGACCTGGTGCAGGCGCTTACCACGGACAGCGACAATTCATGCGGGAAGTGGAGCCAGCTCGAAGAAGAGGTGAGAAACCTGAGAGGCTTTGTCAATGCGGAACATCATGGACCACGTCAAAAGAGTTCACTTGCTGTGCTAAGGCACCTTCCCATCGAGGCCCCATTTTGGTGCAATGGTTTTCGTATGTGTTTGGTTGGTTCATGTTGGTTGCCCGTTGCCCTTTGTGGTTTTTCAGACCTGTCTTTTGGTGTTGAGCCCTTTCGATTCCACGCCTCGGCCTTCAACGTGTCTTTTCACCGCGGCGCCCCTGGCGCCGTGGCGTGGAAATCCAGTCGATGTGAGGTGAATCGGTCTTTGCCTCCAAGCAACTTCGAGATGCTTGGCATCGATATTCGATGTTCATCTCCAGGTTCACCTCCCATCTTTTGAAACTTTTGAGTAGAAACGGTAAAAACTGCTGGCATCGACTTCTTTCAAAGATTTGGGCGCTTTCGTGGATGCGAAGATGGGGAGGCTGTCCATCCTCCAAAATCCTGGCTGCTCAATCGAGGAGACAAGTACACAGGTACACAATCTGAATGATGAAAGATGCCTCCCATGTCTATGCCGTTCTTTCCATGTCTATTTTGAGCTTTGTAATGTGCATTGTTGCCTTGCAAAGGCAGTATGGCTGAGACGGCCTCCCGGAACCGGCCACGGAACCGGCCCATCCTTTTGGACGGAGACGGAACGGAAACGAACGTCGGCTTCCGCCCAGGTTGGCGATGAGCAACATGTGCATCGTGCCCGAGAATATGAAGTCCAGTGACGGGCATTTGTTGGAGTTAGGTGCGTGGCTCGGCAGCTAGGATGGTGAGGTCGGTTTGAAGAAAGCGAAGCTGGATGCGGTTCTGCCTTGGCTCAGAACGGACCTCTCATTCGATATTCCGGGCCTTCAACAGGATATTGTATCAGGAGGCATTATTTAGGGCATGGTATACTATACAAAGTCAGGGGGCCACCACCCAATTTAGAAACAGAGAGTACACAACTCGTTGAGCAAGGCTTACACGTGCAGTGGCAAAGGTTGCTACGTGGTTTCTTTTTGCGTTGATTCTCAATTCCTCAAGCACCTCAAAAGATCATTGCAACATGTTGCAGCATTCCATGGATGTCTTCCCAGACAGAAAGGTTTGAAGCTTAACTAAGTCATGGCTCTTTCCTGTTTCCACCGTCTCGCATTCCATCACCCAGCTCAGGCCGCTGAGCACGGCCGTGGCCTGGCGGCACGTCGCTGGATGGAGTCGCAGACACTCCATGGATGGTATGTGCATATACACTACACGTTGGGCTTGAATACCATAGTAAAGCATAGTAAAGCTATGAATATATATATATAAGGCAATTTCCTTGCAAATGGGTGTTGTAACATTACATATGGGTCCTACAGATGTGGCTGGCACATGGTGATGACTACACTTAATTTCCGCGTTTCCGTTTTCTCCACTGAGCACAGCGGTGTTGGGATGAGTGAAACACAGTGCATAGGATTTCACCCCTCACATCAGAACCTGGCAGCACAAGTCGAGAGCAGTTGGTCAACATGGATGAAAGCGCCAGGAAACTGAACGAGTAATTTGTTTTTTTCCCCTGAGATCTACTGGGCCATGCGCTTCCTAGAGGTCTCCA